CAAAGTTGTTGAGGTCGCCATTTGCTTCATGTGAGAGCTGATGTGACTGTGTGCTGGGCTGTGGAAGGAACAGCAGAATGTGAGCCAAGAATGATAGCAGCATCACATTCAATCACCAGCAAGCTGATAGGCTCATGCACAGGTGCAGTCACTGCTTCTCCTCACCACAGCAAGCACATCCAGGTGTGTGCAGCCAATCCTCCCACAAGCCTGTGCTTGTATCTGTTCACTTCCATGTCATGGGAAGATCACTCATTCACTTTCTAAGCTCTAAACACAGCTTACTTTTCTAAGCAGTATCATGTCAGGGATGCCTGCGTGTTCTGTTCCCTTCTGTATTAACTAAGTGTGGCCATATTTATAGCCCAGAGGGTCTGGAGATAACCCACTTAAACTCCAGGCTGCCCTGTGAAGTGTGGTTCACACAAGCAAGCAGGCTGTGGCCAACACTTCCTGCTGCTCCTAGTACCACGTCTAAGCCATAGGGTGGTAAGAATGAATGCCCTAGTACAGATATGAAGGGCATTCAGCCTTGGTCTATGTTCTGTTAGCTATCTGGATAGAATCAATTTTCATAGTGGTAAGACATGCATAAGGGTCATTTCCTGTATGTCCTGCGTCCTGGCTACATGGAAATACCTCTGCTTGTCTGCTGTGATTGTTTAAGCCACGAGACCTCAAAAGGACAACATACACGATTGGCTTAGACACTGCGGTCCGACTGTGACAGGCAGCTATTCCCTTAATCACCAATGCACCATGTCCATAGTAATAATGATCAGAACAACAAAAACAGCATAGATGCTCTCTTTGCTCTGAAAACATGTGGTCCTTTCTTCCCAGAAAATTAGGCCTTTTTTATATGGTGGCTCCCATTTCCTTGGAGATGAGGCCACCTATAGCACCTCAAGCTTGACTTTGTTTGGTTGCTTTTCGGTGGGGAGGGTGTTAATCCATGCATCTTCTTACGGTCTAACATCTTATTCCACAGTTCCCCAGACAGGCTTAGTGCATTGTGATGTCTGCACAAACACCAGGGTCTTAGAAATCCCCCTGACACTCTGACTTTGACCAGAGTCTACCTAGGCTATAGGTTCAACACCTGCTCAAAAAGTTGCCACCCACTTCACACAGCAATTGCAGGGACCAAAGTGATCATGGTTATAAGATGCTTCGGATCTTTCCAGAGAAATGTGATCTGAAACTCCAGCTCCCTTCCGGTTAACTGAGAACAGTTTTTGCTCCTGAATGTAGCCTAGAGAGTTCTCGTGTCCTCACATCTCTGCCCTGAAAGGGCCTCTCAGTCTCTTCAGAAATGTTATTGGAGAGATGACAAGCAGGGCAGCCACAGCAGGAAGCAGGCCACCTTCAGTATCAGAGTGTTTGAGGGAAGGGAAAGCGGTGTTGGGCAGAGGGGCGCAGGCTCTGCTTCTGTGGACGCACCTAGACTGCTGCGGCAAGCGTTCGTCGTGAGGCCCAAGTTTAGCATGGGAAGGAAAGTGGGGCTTTGTAAGTTTGAATCCCAGCTCTTCAAGTACCATCTGTGTGGCCTCAGTTAAGTTTCCTAACCTCTCAGAATTTTGTTCATCTCTGCATGAGTCATAATAATGCTGGTGTTTTGCTGTTCTCTGAGGTGTAGGTGAGATCTTGTCTGCACTGCTCTTACATAGTAAGTGCGTGAATGGTAGCTGCTACTTCTGTGCCTTCACTTGGCAGTGCTTGGAGATGTTTTCTGTTTTAGTGCCACCGTAGAGTTTGTGTGCAGATACTGAGTATGGCAACAGTATCTGCTTTACTGTTTGCCAGTGAACAAACCCTCAGAGTTGGCTGTAGATGGGCACAGTGTAGTCTCACGTTTTCTGTAAAACATTGTCTTGCAGAGATTGATGGAGTCCAGAGTCCACCCTCTATCTTCCAGCCCCCTATATCCTTCCCTAGCACTCCATGCCCTTGGCATTGGAGTGGTAGCACATCCACTCAGGGGACTGAAGTAGGAGGATTTTGAGTTTGAGGCCATCCTGTGCTACATTATGAGACCCTGCCTCCAAAGTGAATGCGTGTATGCATGCTTACACACACGCCTGCAAATTAGCAGCCTGCCATGTGGTCTCCCTGCCTCAAGCCTTGTTTTGTAGCCATGGTGGTTTCTTCTCGCCCCATCCTGGCTGCTACTGGCTAGGCCAAGTCTTACCTTTACCTTGTCTCTGTGGGACAGACTCTTGGGTCTTCTTACTCTGTCTTCCTCCACTTCCAGTGGCCCTGTCTCAGCATGCAGGACGATGCAGCTGCTCCAACTGTATGCTCAAGTGCTGCCTCCTTTTCAGACCCCCTCTGATGTCCTAAACCCACTTATCTTCCCTGAGCCAGGAGATGGTCTTCCACACCACACACCTGCAAGCTGCTGGCGTTCTGTGAGGCATCTGTCATCTATTCCTCAGAGACAGTTCAGTCCCTGAGATGTTTTCACCTGAGCTGGTGGACATGATAGCGCCACCAGAGACTTAACCTCGTACAGATGTTTGCCTAATCTTCAGCCTTCTCACCTGAAGACTTAGCTGCGCACCCACTTTCTTAGTCTTCAGTGCCCAGCCTCTCCTCTATGCCACTGAGAGAAGGGTCTCACAGTGGAAATTCCATAGAGGAAATGATGTTTGTGCCCTGGCGTTTGCTGCTCTGTAGTGATGCCCAACAGCTGTTCACCATCTTTTGTAAAATCACTCAAAAATGGCAATTAAGTCACCCCTTAGATGTTGCCTTTTCAGGACATGTAATCCCCGTTCCTGTGAGCTCTCGGATCATCCACTGTGTCAGGCCCTTTGATCATCCATGCTGCTTCTAAGCATTCTGAGTGCTGCTTCTCTTCCTATCCTATGGACCTGTTTTCCTGGATGCCAGGTACAGCATGTCTTAGAAGTGCCTCTGGCTTTGACTTTCCTAAGGGTCACTGAGATGTCAGAAGTGTAGCCCACAGAAGTCTGACTAGAAAGGAAGCCAGTGAAGGACACCTCTTACCTGCATCCAAAGAAATAATGTTTTTTATTTATTATTTTTTATTATCATTATTATTAATTTTCCCTTGAAATGTGTGAGGCTGGCAGATAAGACTGATTTCTTTTTACACATGAAGTGAAATGACTCAGTGGAAGGCCTATTCTTGTCTGAAACAAGGGCAGTCTGTCCCCACCTTACCTACCATTGATCTTGCCTCTAGGACACAGTTCCTTTGGTACAGGGGTTCATTTCCTGTTCTCATCCTGAGCAGCCCTGGGCTTTGAGCACTGGGGCCAATTCTGTGTACACCAGCTTGCCAGGCATGAAAGAGGAGCAGGGACCTGTCTTCTGGGACCTTCTCCTGTGGTGCTTTTCCCCCGAGGGGCCAGCCAGATCCACCATTCTAGTCTTGTCTGGTCAGCCAAGTCCACTGACGGTGTTTCCAGGCTTTCTTCCAAACTCAAGGGAGGACAGTGGTCCTCCTGAAAATGCTCTGGAGAGCAGTGTCTTCCCTTCACCACACACAAATCTCTGAGCCCAAAATTTACAGAGCACTTGGCTGTTTGCACTGGGTTGACACTGCTAAATGGTAGCAACTGATGAAAAGGCCTAGTGATGGTGGCACCCAGCTTTCTTATGAGGTGTATTCAGAAATTCCACTGATTCTGAAGACCAGGAAGACCTGAAGAGGTAGTCCCTCTGACTTCTTAGGTTCTCTCCCCATCTTCTACCTACTAGTCCTATAGAGAAACACTGGCTGTAGAAATTCAGACCCTCTCCCTGCATAACCTGTTTCTTCCCTAGTAGGTGCTGTTTCCCCAGCCCACTGAAAGCTGATTCCCAACCAAAAGCCCATGTGGACCACACTTGGCCTTCTGTTATATTGTATATTTCTACAACTTCTGTTGTCAAAAGAGAAATTGTAGAGGGGAGTTGCTTTGATGCTTAAATTTATTTATGTGCCTGTGTATGTTCATATGCCTGTGCGTGGTTGCCAGAAGACAACTTTGGAGACTCAGCTCTCAACTTCCACCTTGCTAAAGCAGGGTATCTCTTGTTTTCTGCTAGCTGGCCCACAGATTTCAGAGCAGCTGTCCTGTCTCCACTTCCCTTCCCATGAGAGGAGTTCTGGGATTCCAGATGGCATGCTGCCACAAGAGCTTTATATGTGGGTTCTAGGATGGAACTTTGGTTATCAGGCTAGAATAGCAGAAGCTTTACCTGCAGAACTATTTCCTTGCCCCAAGAAATGTGTATTCATTCATTCATTCATTCATTCATTCATATAAAAGTATCTCCACAGAAACCCGCTTTCCTACCAGGAACATGGTGAGTGCTGGGATTGGTAGCTAGAGAGCTTCCATCCTTCAAGGAGACAGTAAAAGTGATGTAACCAAATCATTGAGTCCCAAGTGCACTAGACACTGTTCAAGTTGAGGACGGGGAGTGATAGGGGTTACCCAAGGAGGCAGGCTGCCTTCTTCCTGGGCAGGAATTGTCTGGAAGGGGATGAAGGGAGGTGGGTTTGCTGAAGGAAGACCAGCAGCTATTGATATCCCAGATATTTAGTGATTTTATAAGCTCATGAAGTCAGCAGAGCAAGAAAGCAAAACAATCTCAGCCAATGTAACAAGCATTCATAATATTGCACAGAGAGATTTGATGTGGTCCTCCCCAGAAAACAGACAGGTGGGCTGACCACAGTGTGCCCTGTTCTTGTAGCCTGTGTTACTGTCCAGTTCACAGACGTGCTGCCACGCTTGCCTCGCGTCCTCTAGCAGGCAGGCAGTCTAGGAACGTTCCTGGTCCTCCTAAAGGTCACCTCAAAGCATTAAAGGTACCTGTTGCTATTTGCTTGTGACTCTACAGTTTCCATATGCAGATGTTCCTGTTTCCTGGAGAGATCACCCTGATGTGGTGGGTTCCTCCTCTGCCCGAGTACTTAGCCATGTCCTGGCCATGTGTGCTCTGAAGTATTTAACCATTCGGTTCTTGTTTTGTTTCTGAAGGCTCGGCCTGTCTGTTGAGAACATCGTCCGTGATTGGCTTGAGTGTTCCGGAATACCCAAGGTACCTGAAATAACTATTTCAGGAACAGAGTAAAGCTTGCTGTTAGCCTCTCAGCCCAGACTGTGATGTTTTAAATATGTCTATGAAAGTGCTGACTCCCAGTAGCCACTGGCTTGAGTACTGTGGGGTGTAGGTGGATGTGACAGTGGCCACTGCATTGTGTGTCAAGTGAGGTCATCTGAAGCATGCTAGGTATTTTGGGTGGAGTCTCCAAGCAACAGTTTAATACCTGCAGTGGGTTAAGCAGGAGGCTTCCAGCTGGGTCTTGGGTATAGCCAAACAGGCAATCTGGTTTGCCACAGCTTTTACCTGACCATGATGCTTGTTTTCCTTCCAATCCCTGCCTTTCAACTTCCTCCCTAGGATACCTAAGGGCCTGCATCAGGCCACTTCCCTACGCATTTAGTCATTGCTTTGTCTTGGGGACCTGGACTCAGTTCCCCCACCCCTTTAAGGTCATAGGTAGCTGTGAGAGAGAAGTCTTTACCAGCCCTAGGGGAACACCTAGCCTAGAGCAGAGGGGGCTGCTTATTGCCCAGGTCCATGCTTCTAGAATCTATTGGATAATCCAGGCTCCTGGATTCTGGCTCCTCCCTAGCCAGAATGCTGGGCTAAGGACCAGGCCTATTATTGTAGTAGACCTTGGTGGCTGTGGACAGACCCTTGTGGCAGTGAAAATTTGGCCCCACGTTCAGGCAGGCCAGTCCCTGTAGCCTGCTTATTTCTGTCTTTGTGGCTGGTTATATGAGCTTCTGCTTGGACGTGTCTGGATGTCTATGAATGTCTGTGACCCATGAAATGCAGTGGAAGGTGTTCAAATAGCCTTCAAACAAGGAGAAATGTTACTACCAGCCACCATTAGCTCACTGGGAGACACTGCCTTCAGTTCAGAAATGGACACCACCCGCTCAGTTACTTGTTTGGTTCAATCTCTCTGGGAACCAAAAAAGAAATGAAAACTAAACAAAACCGGTGAGGTGAGGCAGCATGGGGCCTGGAAGGCAGCACTTTAAGGTCAGGTATGTCATGAGAGCCTGTGGTTTCTAAGAAGGTGACTTCCAAACAAGAGGACTCTGAGAACCAGCCTCACCCTGAAGTGTTTTTAGATGGGGCGTGTCTGGCAGTCTCTGTGGAGTTTGCTTTGTGGGTCTATACCAGCCTATAGAAGGCTCCTAGGCATTCTTGGTGTGGCTGAAAGCTGGGCCGAGTTGGAAGCTCAGCCAACCCCCAATTCCCTGCTCTAGAACAAGCCCCCTTTTTTGTATCAGCTAGCCAGGAGGGAAGGAAAGTCCTGAACCCTGAGCAGTGCATGCCCAGAAGCAGGCTGCCCCAGGTGAAGTATGAGGCTGAGCTGACCCTCCTCTTAGCGGCAACAGGGGAGGTTGCTTCTTACAAACTGCAGAAAGGAATAAGGAAGAGTGAGATGGGCCTATGAGCTTAACCTTTTCTTCCAAAGTTCTAGTTGCATTAGTGACAGCTTAGCATAGACAGACTTTCTACCTTGAACTGATGAAACCTGCTGTCGAAACAGCCAGGTGCAATGAGGCTTACCAGCTATAACTTATCTTTAAGGCCCACTGGCATTTCCCTGAGTGCGTAACTGTTCAGTAAAAACAACAGCAGCAGACAGAAACAGGCCTGATTTAGTGCATAAGTTTGGCTGGTGCGTGATCACAGGGTGTCTTTTCATCACCCACCTCTTCCCCCACCAAGTTCTCTGGTTATTTATGTGGCTGCTGGTGATCTACCTGCTCTCAGCCCCTTTCACACTCCTTGTAAGTTTCTTTTTGTTTCCACTTCAGTGAAGTGCTTGGCAGGGCCTGAGACCCTGTGGTGGCAGGAGCACAGAGTGAATGGGACACCTTGTTCTTCATCCCGTCATTATAATATAAAGTTACTAGCGTGCCTGCCCTGGAGTGACAAAACACCACTGGCAGGTTCTCTGCTCTTTGTTCTCTTCAGAATTTCTGTCCTCCAGCATTTGAATTCTCTGATGACAGAGACCCATGTTCTCTTATGAAGTTTCCATCCCACAGGCTGCAGAGGCTTTTTGTCTTCTCGGGAAGGTCTGCCCCAACTTTCCTTTACGGTTATGCTGAATGGAAATCATAAAAACAAAGTAATGGACCTAGCTTCAGGAACAGCTGAAGTAGGCACGAGACCCACAGAGACAAAGAATTGGAGCCAACCTCTTTAAAGAATACCTCAGCCCTGTAACCTTACAAAGACTGAAATTGTCTATGACCTCGGTCTTGTTGCCTTTTATGACAATTTTTCTGTGAAAACATTGCACATTTTATATTTTAGAATATAAAAAGACTATAAATAAGAAAATTAAAATGACCCAGAGGTGACTTATTTTTCTTTGCTGTAGTCTTTGAGGCAGGGTCTCATATAGCCCACGCTGGCCTTGGACTTTCTCATAGCTGAGGCTGCCCCATTCTCCCTTCAGTACTTCCTAAGTGCTGGGGTTCCAAGTATGTACCACTGTGGCTGGCATCGAGAGATGTATACGCTTTGGTATACATCTTTTCAGCCATTATTCACAATCTATAAGTATGTATTTTATGCTTTCTCTACCTTTTTCGTTTGGTTTTGAGATACAAGAGGTGGAACTCAGGGCCCTGTGCATGGTGGGTATGCTCTCTACCATTTGTAAACTAAAAACAATTAGCTCTAGCAAGGCCAACCAGAAGCAAAGTCTGAGCTGTGGAGCTACTGCTATGTCAGTCTCAGTGGTGATCCAGGCCTGCTGACTCCTGCTTTCTGTGCTGTGTAGTAGGTGTTCAGCCTTTAAAAAATAAACTAGAACTTTAAGAGTTTTTAGACAGTGTATCTCCATTACTTTCCTTTTTCCTTTGGTATAAGCTGAAGAGCAAGTGTTGATGGCTGTGCTGCTTCCTGAGAGATGGTACCAGACTAAATTTTGTCAGCTCCCCAACCTCGTGTTGGAATAGTATACAACTGTCTCAGGGTGTCCACCAGGAATTGGTTCCAGAACCCTCCTGAGGATACACAGACCTTCTATACAGTGTCTTAGTGTGTGCATACAGCCATCTCAGTCCCATTTGTGTTAGACCCCAGGCAGAGTGAAGGCTGCTGACTGCCGTCACACCATTGCCCAGATGCTCGATTGGCATACTCAATCAATGCCATACATGCTTGTTTCTTTTCATGTCTGCCCTAAGGCACCCCCTCACCCGCATAGTCATGTTTTAACCTTCGTTATGACATTTCTGTACAGAGCACTGGAGATGGCATTTCTCCATCCAGGCTCTTTGTTCTCCTTGGTTTAAGTGCTACAGAGCCTCTGAACCCTCCTCTCATTCTTAAGATCCTTCTGGAACTTGTCAAGTACTGAGGTCCCTGTGTAAGCAAATCCACAGTCCTGTTCCCCAGAACCTGCACTCTTTCCTCATTGTATTTTGCCTGAGCTAGTGCAGTAGCTAATTGGTCATGTAGCAGCCAAACTCTTTTCTGTCTGTCTGTCTGTCTGTCTGTCATCCACATCAATATCAAGTGAGTTTTCCCAAAACAGTTCAAATCCATCCTCAGTGAAACTCTCTTTATTGGCAGTGTTCTAAAAATGCTCTCTGGCATTCTGGTTGATGCTTTCCATACTGCCCAAGGCTATCCTGTTAGAACTTTTTGTCCCGCCCTTCTGGGCATATATGGGTAACCATAACTGCCGGACTCCAAACATCAGTCTCTTTTACACATGCTCTTTTCAATCTCTCCAGCGTCTGTCTTCTGTTTTGAATCCATCGTAACTGGCTTTATGTTGTTGCTATTTGTGTGTGTCTCGAGCTGTCTCCCAGGAAGAGGTGTTATATCTGGTGCATCCCCACATTACTTATTGTGTTGAGCATGTTTCCATTCTTCTGCTGAGCCCCTTTTGATGTTCAGGGGCCCACTGTCTGACAGAGCAGTGACTGGCAATGCACAGCATCAAGCACTTGAACTATATCTAGCATACCCACACTCCTAAACTTTATTTAGTTAGTTATTGAGACAAGGTCCTATTGCATAGCCCAAGCTGAGCTAAAACTTGCCATGTAGCCCAGGCTGGCCTGGGACACACAGACCCTGCTGGTTTGCCTCCTGAGTGTGGGGTTGCAGGCCTGTGCCAACACTTGGCATGAGTGGCCGAATCTTAAGTCTAATCTTAATTAAATATGTCTAAATTTAAAAGCTAATAAATCTATTGTTGTTTGACACATTTCAGGTATAATAATGAATCTACTTTTCAACTGTAGATTTTATGAAGTAAAAATATAAACCAAGCATTTATGATTAAAACTAGTATCTGGGTAGAGATAAAATTTGCAAAAACTTCAGATTAAGATGCCTCATACCAATAAAGAAAACAAAGAAGAGGAGGAGGAGGAAAGGAAGGAAGGAAGAAAAAAGAAAAATGAAGTAAAACATTTAATTTTAAAAATTCAGCCACATATTGAAATGTAGTGTTTGAGTGCATGTTAGCCACACATGTACAGTTGGTGCCCATATTTTTGGGTCCTACACAAGTTCAGTCAGTTACAGGTCAAAGTATTCTTAAAAGAAACCATCTCTGAACTGAACACCTACAGACCTCCTGGAGCAGGAGTGTGCCCTCTGCTAGGTTTTGGACAAACTGGAGACAGCTGAAAGACCATGTGCTGTACCTACACCACTTTACATAAGGGGCTGGAGTGTCTCTAGGTTTTATGCCCACAGGGGTCATGGACCAGTCCTTCAGATACTGTAAGATGAACTAACCTATTAAAACTTTATCTGCTATGCCTTACTTTTAAGATGTAGCAACTGCATTGAGTGTCATGGGGCATGCCTATAACTGCAGCCCTGAAGCAAGGAAGATCATGTGTGTTTCAGCTGAGTGTAGACTACATAGCAAGTCTCTGATTGAAAAAAAAATCACGAAATTACAGCTAAAAAAATTAATAACTAAAAAAATGCTTCTGTGTAGGTATCTGGGGGGGGGGGTGCCTGTGCATGCAACT